TCCTCCTCCTCCTCCTCCTCCTCCTCCTCCTCCTCCTCCTCCTCCTCCTCCTCCTCCTCCTCCTCCTCCTCCTCCTCCTCCTCCTCCTCCTCCTCCTGCTCCTCCTTTTCCTCCTCCTCCTCCTCCTCCTCCTCAGTTCCCGCCGCGGCCCCACAGCCCGGCGCTCCCGCAGGGCGTGGTCACGTGGGAGTCGGTGGTGCGGGTGCCGCCGCCGCCCCTCCTCCGCCGCGCAGGGATTGGTGGGGCGCCCAGGAGGAGGAGGAAGAGGAGGAGGAGGGGGATGAGGGAGGAGGAGGAGGAGGAGGAGGAGGAGGGGAGGAGGAGGAGGAGGAGGAGAGAGGAGGAAGGAGGAGGCGGAGGAGGAGGAGGAGGAGGGACGAGGAGGAGGAGGAGGAGGAGGAGGCGGAGGAGGAGGAGGGGTGAGGAGGAGGAGGAGGAGGGGAGGAGGGGGAGGGAGGAGGGGGAGGGGGAGGGGGAGGCGGAGGGGGAGGGGAGGTGGCGGAGGAGGAGGAGGAGGAGCAGGACGAGGAGGGCTGACTTTCAAATACCTGCTTCGTGTCTCGTCCTTCCCAACATGCCCCTGCCGCTGCTGCCGCCCTGCGGACTTGCCAGCTGTTGGCGGGGGCCAGTGTGGAACGCGACCAGTTTCTTGGCGGGGCGCGCGCCCGCCCCGCGAGCGGACTTGCAGGCGGAAGTGCTGCCTGAATTGTGACCAGAATTGCGGCTAGAGTTGTAGCCAGAACCCCCGCGTGAGCCGCAAACGCGACCCAGAAGGTTTCCCAGCGATTTCGCCTGCAATTCCGCCAGCGGTGTAGGCATCCGGCTCAGTCAGGAGACCTGCTTTGGGAAAGGGCGAACCTGGTCCGACTGAGCTTCCCGCCGACACACAAAGGTTAGACACAGACGCCCTCCAGTGGATTGCTTCTGGGCCTCAGGGGAGGGTGGCGGTGTATAAATCACCACTGACAGCCAGTGACTTTACACACCGACACCCTCCCTGAAGGTACATGCAAAGTTCGTCGGAGAGTGTCAGTGTATCCTCTCCCTGAAGGTACAGGCAAATGTTCGTGTCGTGGCGTATCCCCTCCTCGCATCTCTCGCAATGTGCCCCTCGTTGATCGGATGTTCGCCGCTCCAGTCCCGAGCCCATCGTTCGGGGCGTGCGTGTCTGTGCCTCCTCGTTCCTCCTGCTGCGCCACCAGGTGTGTCGGTAGGGTCGGCTGGCCGTCTTTTCGGTATTTTCTCCACCAGAGGCCGGACATCCAGCGATTTGCACGGGCGGAGGCCGCGGCGTCTGAACAAATGCGGCACTTGCTTTAGCGCTGCGATCGCTCGTCTTAAAGTTTGCAACAGCGACACGGGCTGAGGCCCGCATGTTGGCAACTTCTTGTTCTTTCCTTCACGACGCGTGCACCGGTTTTATGAATTGTTACAGAACTGAAGAATCTGCGGGGGGGGGTCCGTTTCGACAATGTGTTTTTTCCCGTTGTTTTTCTTCTCGGCAGTTTGCAAAAGTTGCGCGGATCGAGAGCTTCGTTTATGACGGCAATCGCTTATCTACTTCCTCGATGCCAATTTCCTCGATCACAATTTTCCGATCTTCCAATCTTTTAAAGATTTGTCGCACGAGTTATAGCTCTGTTTCGTGAAGCGAAGCCGTGAGGCACGTGCCGATGCGCAGCGCGAGCAGAGGGAGGACGGCCAGCGGCTGCTTTTCGAAGGGTGTTTTTATGGGTACATGCCGGAAGGTTTCGATCACGCCTTCGAATCTGATACAGTCAACCCGCATAGTAAGGATGGGCAACCTTCCCAAGGGGGGTACCCTTGCATCCTTGCCTCCTCGGTCCATCCTTGGCCACTTTCGTTGGCCACGCGCCGCTAGGAGAGCTTCGATGTGGCCTTCCAAGGCCCTTGCATCCTTATCGTGCGTCCTTATTGTGCAGGTTGACTGTAGGTGCACGGGTTGAGGGTGGTCTTGTCATCTGGAAGGGCTCTTGTCTGATCGGCAAGCCCACAGGGCACTTGCCTGTCAAATGGGCGCTCGCAGGAACGGAGGGTTTTTTTGTAGGGACTCATGAGGAGAGACCTTGAACGGACGGGTGTATTGTAGCATCGTGGATGTATACTGGATTGCACTGTCCCTCCTCCTTCTCCTCCGCTCGTCCTTGTCCTCGTCCTCGTCCTCGTCCTCGTCCTCGTCCTCCTCCTCCTCCTCCTCCTCCTCCTCCTCCTCTCACTGTCCGCCGCGCTTCCTTGGCCCCCCCCCCCCTCCTGCGAGGCAATCGACTACCTCCACAGCCATGGCATAGTACACCGAGACTTGAAACCGGCCCGGGTGGGGGCTTTGTAGTTGGGCGGAAGACGAGGGTGATGATGATGATGATGATGATGATGATGATGATGATGATGATGATGATGATGATGATGATGATGATGATGATGATGATACTAATGATGATGATACTGCTGAGGATGATTATGATGCTGCTGCTGATGATGATGATGTTGATGATACTGATGACAATGATTATGATGATTATGAAGCTGGTGATGATGACGCTGATGATGATGCTGATGCTGTTTATGATGATGCTGATGATGCTGATGATACTGCTGATGATGATGAGTGATGATGCTGCTGGTGATGATGATGGAGATGGAAATTCCAATAATGATGCTGATGCTGAAACTGATGTTGCTGATGATGATAATGATACTGATGCTGATGATGCTGATGCTGATGCTGATGCTGCTGCTGCTTACAATGCTGCTGATGATGCTGATGATGATGAAGATGCTGACGATGATGACGATGAGGAGGATGCTGATGATGGCGATGCTGATGATGGTGGTGCTGATGGTGCTGTTGCTGATGATGATGATGATGATGATGATGATGATGATGATGATGATGCTGCTGCGACTGATGATGATGATGATGATGATGACGATGATGATGATGATGATGATGATTATGATGATGATGATGATGCTGATGATGATGATGATGATGATGATGAATCTGGATAATGGTGATACTGCTGATGCTGTTGATGATGAGGATGCTGATGACGATGATGACGATGATGATGCTGATGATGCTGATGATGATGATGCTGATGATGATGCTGTTGTTGCTGCTGATGATGATGCTGTTGTTGATGATGATGACGCTGATGATGATGATGCTGATGATGATGACGCTGATGATGATGCTGATGATGATGATGATGATGATGATGCTGATGATGATGATGATGATGATGATGATGATGATGATGATGCTGATGCTGATGATGCTGATGACGCTGATGATGGTGACGCTTGTGCTGACGATGATGATTTGTGATGATGATTTCGCTGATGATGATGCTGATTCTGCTGATCATGATGATCATGAGGACCATGATGTCGATGATGGTGGTGGTGATGATGGTGACGAGTAGGAGCAAGAGGAGGAGGAGGAGGAGGAGGAGGAGGAGGAGGAGGTGGAGGACGAACATTATGATCATACTGACGATGATGATGCTGATGCTCATGATGATCATTCATGAAGATGATATGACGATGATGATGGCGATGCTGATGATGCTGATGATGATGCTGTTTCTGATGATGATGCTGCTGCTGATGATGATGACGACGATGATGATGATGATGCTGATGCTGCTGCTAATGATGATGATGATGATGATGATGATGATGATGATGGTGATGGTGATGGTGATGGTGGTGGTGGTGATTGTGATGATGATGCTGATGCTGCTGATGATGATGATGATGATGATGAGGAGGAGGATGAGAAGGAGGATGAGGAGGAGGATGATGAGGTCATGTTCATGGTCGTTTGCATAAGGAGGTCACCGTCAACACCGACGAAGGAACTGTTCGCACAACTAGCAAAATCTCTTGCGATTAGATTATGCCGCAGCCCCAGACTCCCCATGGGGCAGGCAGGGGGCATACCCCTAAGCTCAAGGGGCGAGCTCCGAGGTGGCCCCGTAAGAGAGGCTCGCTGATTCAGACGAGTCCCTAAGGGTCAGTGCGAGGGGAACAGCTGCTGGTCTTTTCGCGTGCCAACTCTGGGGGACGCGCTGGCGAACAGGGTTCCCAGGTAGGGGATTCCCTGAACCTTTCCTAATTTGTGAGCCAGAGCTCCTGCACTCCCCCCCCCTCTTCCACGGAAGCTCCAGCACTCCGAGATGTCCTCGCTCGTGCTCTCTACTCACTACGCCGAGACAGGTGCTTCCCGCGCCAAGCGCGCTCAGATTCCGCTTCCCGCGCCAAACGCGGTCAGGAATGCTCGACTTCGGCTCTTTCCGTCCTCTGCAAGGTCACGCTTCTCCCAGAATATCTGGGGAGACATGCGGCACGTGCAGAAGATTGACATCCTCTTTGCTTTCCCATTTTGGTAGGGCCAAATCCTCACAGGGAAGCAGTTGTGTATTTGTCTCCCATTCCTGGCATTAACTCCAGTGCTTTCCCATCCCGAAAAAGCGAATTCCACTTCTGGCAAAGTGCGAACTGTGCCGCTGGATGCCACTTGGCGCCGCAACAATGGCCAATATGGTTCCAGATAATGTCAAAGATGCCGTCCACAGTTCGTCCGTTGCGCTTCCGTGTCCTCTCTTCTATGACAAACCGTTCAAAAATTGTGTCTGCAACCACCGAATAGGTCAGAGGGAGCCCCCGTTGGGAAATTTTGCCGGTCCCTTTGCCTCAGTTTCCTAGTCGTCAACATTGAGGAGCATGGGTTTTCGAAGGTCTTCATCGGCACCAGTCGGTGGCCTCTGAACCTCGGGGCTTCCACCTTCCGAAACCTTCGCTCTCCGGCGGCGAACAAATGAGTCGATCTCCTGGGACACCTTTCCAGAAATGTGGGTTGGCCTCCATTTTTGAGGTCCATCATCGGCAGATGCCAATGACCTCTGAACCTCGGGGCCTCCATCTTCCCTCTCCGTCGCCTGCTCTTGTCTGCCCTGCGGCAACCTATGACTGTTGTCCTCCAATAAAGCGGTCATGGGTTCTCGAGGCTCATCACTGACGCAAGCCACTGGCCTCCGAACCTCGGCGCCTCCGTTTTCCTTCTGGCTTTCGTCGTTTAACTTATCTCGCCGACGGGCAGAGGAACGCAGAGCTGGGCCAGCGGGGTTCCACCGACGCAATCGATCTTCTGTCTCCAGTGCCATCTTTTCCCAATGGTTTTCTGTCTCTTCGACTCCTCATTTGCTTCAGTGCCAGACTCATGGTGCAGCTGTTCCAAAAGCTCTGAGTCGTTTTTGGGTTTTCGAGGTTCTTCTTTGGCACCCTCCGGTTGCTCCCGAACCCCGGGGACTCCATTTTCCCTGTGGTAATTGCTGTCCAGCGACGGCACTTGATCAACCAATTGTTCGCAAATGGCAGCCCTGGCTATCTTGCATTTCCGGGCATGGGTGCGGCGGATCCGTTCTCTGCGTCTTTGGCTTGTCGTTTTTTCCAGGTCACACTCCAATCCTCCTTAGACATTTGGAAAATTGCGACACAAGAAACATTCCGTCACCAGCTTACGACCCCGTTACGCGAGAAGACGTCTCAAAAAGTACGGTATCGGAGTGGCTGCAGGGATTGTTTCTTCACTCCGTTCCTCCCCCTGCTCCCTCTCGCCCGCCCTACCGCGATTGGAGAATGTACGGGGCGGAAATCGTGTGCGTGAATTTATGTGAATGTCCTCACTCCGTCGGAGCTCAAATTGCCTGGGCCTCCAACGCCGACTCGGAGGAGGAGGAGGAGGAGAAGGAGGAGGGGGAGGAAGAGGATGAGGAGAAGGAGGAGGAAGAAGAGGAGGAGGAGGAGGAGGTGCAAGAGCAGCAGGTGGAGCCGTGGTATCCACGGCGGCGAAATCCTACGCAACTACGTGTAACGCGCATCTGTTTACATTGATGCTGGCACTCAAGCGTTGACGCTGGTGGCGCATATCCTGGGTCTCAGCAGTCTGGCGGCCGACTCTCCTGTCCTTCCAGGACCTAGCCCCCTTCCCCTCCTCCTCCTCCTCCTCCTCCTTCTCCTCCTCCTCCTCCTCTTCCTCTTCCTCTTCCTCCTCCTCCTCCTTCTGCTCCTACTACTACCTCCTCCTCCTCCTCCTCCTCCTCCTCCTCCTCCTCCTCCTCCTCCTCCTCCCCTCTGGAGTACTCCAGAGAACCCCCCACGCTTATCTCCCTTCACCCGACGTCTCTCGTGTCGTTGCCGCCATCGTTGGCTGGCCCGCCGCTGTCGCCGTCGTCCTCGATGACTGCCTGCTCTTTTCTTTACCTGGACCTCGCGCCCCGTCGTGGACACGCCCCAAGGCCAACCTCGAAGCCTGGACCCTGTATAATCCCCATCGTCCGCCTCTTCCCGTCTTTTCCCTCCTCCGCCCCAGGGGGGGATTGGGAAAGGGAGGTTGCGACATTTGCTGCGCCAAGCTGATTTCGGCCTCGCAGCCGAGCGCTGTCCTCTGGGAGGCTCTGGGAGGCGCCCGAGAACCCGCCTGCGAGAGCTGATTGGCTAATTCCCCCCTCTTGCTATCGCCCCTCCCCTCCGCCCCGACCCTCCTCCCATCCCCACCGCTCCTCCTCCTGCTCTTCCTCTTCCAGCGTCCCACTGTCGCAGGCTCTTGGCCACCAGAAGTCCGACGCCGGCGCAGGCGCCAGGCTGCGGGCGCTGGCGTGGCTGGCCCAGGCGGCGGGCGGCGTGGCTAGGCTGGGAGCCCGGGACGCCGAGTGGTGCACCGCCCTCTGGCGGGCGTGCGGTCGGGGGCTCCCGTCGTAGCTGCGCCGCGGGGCCGGGCCGCGAAGCGAGTCGTGACGAGGTCCCCTGGGACGTCCCCTGGCATGACGTCCTCGGTATCGTTTACCCGACCCCTCTCCCCCATCCTCATCTCTGTCCAGACCCCCACCATCTCAGCACCCCAACCGGGGACCTCCCCCTCGAACTCCGAAGGAAACGGCCTGTATCCCCGCCTGGGGTCCTTTGGGGCGACCCCCGGCATGACGTCAATATCGTTTCACCGACCCCTGCCCCCATCCCCATCCCTATCCAGACCCCCACCATCTCAGCACCCCAGTCGGGGACATACCCCTCGAAATCCAAAGGAAACAGCCTATATCCCTACCTGGGGTCCTTTGGGACGACCTCTGGCATGACGTTTTCAGTATACCCCCATCCCCATCCCTACCCAGACCCCCACCATCTCAGCATCCCAGTCGGAGACCTACTCCTCGAAATCCGAAGGAAACGGCCTATATCCTCACCTGGGGGGGTAACTGGGCCAGTGGGGCCCAGGCCACGCCAGTGGGGATAGAGATCGGTTAAACGATGCTCACTGGCATGACGACCTCTGGCACGCTCCATGGCGCGCAAAGCAAAGAGCTCCAGCCAGGGTCCTGGCCAGCTCCTGGCGGTCGGGCTGGGCAGGAGAACATTCTGCTCAGCGGTGATGGCACGGTGAAGCTTGCCGACTTCGGCTGGTGCGCCGAGCTCAAG